TAGAAAGCTTCAGTCTTGACAATAAGAAATTCTATAGTTAACTTCTTAGGGTGCTCACAAATCTCTATAGAACTAAGGTGAAATAAATGCTGTTCTTTAAGCAGCTAAAAAAGGTGCATAAAATACTTTTTCCAGAAAACTAACAAACTTTCAGGGAAACACTACCATCTGGTGGCAAAATAGCATGATACATTCGGTTCCATAGCTGGTCCTCTAGCAGGTTTCCAAGGCTGTATGTAAATACACAAGAGAAGAAGGCCTGTATTTCTCTGAGGTGGTCCAGCTCGTAGATGCAAACTACCAGGGAAGCATAGCCTGTAGGCTCACACTTTAAGTCTGTACACAAAATGCCACCAGAGCTCACGTATAATGCATATGTTGTGGTTAAAAACTCAGAACTTTATCAGTGGAGTCCTAGGGGATCTATCTAACATTTGATTGGAATCCACTCAGGGGCAATCAATGTGGCATAACCAATTTTACTACAGACAAATTCCAGTTCAGAGAAATTCAGCAGTGTAACATATAAACAAATGTAGTAATATAAGCTTTTCTACAGTTGTTCTTAAAAGAATTTCCTCACAGATGAAATGTCAATTTTTTTTTAATTCTAAAACACAACTGAATGCTAATATTTTCAAAACTCATCTCCTACATTTTTATTCAAGCTTAGAATAGTATTCATCTATTGTATATTTATTCATTAAGCAAAAATTTATTCACCACCAATTATGTGGAAAGCACTAAAGCAATTAAGTGCTGAGAAATCTATTTTGCATACCTTTTCATGCACTACGGAAGAGACCTTCCAAAGGTACTGAGTAAAATATGTTTCAGAAAAAAGTAAAGAAATAGAAGGCTAATGAATTCAAAGAATATGCAAACCATAACATAGAAGTCAGTTTTACTGGGAGCTCTCATGACGTAGTTTAACTAATCCAAAGGCTGAGCCTCACTTCTCAACCCCTCTGGTCATTCAAATCCACCATCAAGTCCTCAAGAAAAAGATGAACAATCAGCTCCAATATGATTCACAGTCTCAGAAACCCAATGGAGGGTCAGCTCTGAGCTGGTTCCAAATTGACAGCAATGAACTTGGGAGAATTATAGTTAAGTGTTTATTTCAATTCCCCATTTTCTTCTTGATCATAGTTTAAGGGACATCAAGGTCAATTGGCATAAATAAAAATAAACAAAAACCCCAACATTTCTTTATCATAGGTGGAACCAATTTAGCTGATTCTGCACTGAGTTTCTGACCCTGTAAATTACACAGAAGGACATCATCCATCTTTCTCCCTAAAGACACTGGTTAGTTTGAACCACCATAAAGGTACAGTCTTTGGATTAGTAATGCAAATCCCTAAAGACTAGACTATGCCATAACATAGTTGGGTGTCTAAGTGATTCATGAATCCAGCATACGAACAAAATTGACTTTCCAGCACAAATGGATTAAAGCTCTGTTTTCAAGAGACTTGTGAATGCTTAAGATCTCCTAAATGACTCTTCAGAAGAACCTGCTGATCCCACCTCCAAACTCCATGCAGCTCAGATGAAGGGTTTATTATTAGTGAGGCAGCAGTGAAGTCTTAGGGGGCAGCTGAAAGAACTATAATCCTTCTTTGATGCACGTCATTAATCTGCTACAGCCACTGTTTCTCTTATTTTATACAAATTTTCATCCCCAAAAACCTATTATTTATTTATATTGTAACAGAGATAATTACAGGCAACTCAACAGCACCTAACAACAACAACACAAGGGAGGTAATATGAGATTTTACTCAAGAAAGAATATTGCAAAAAGAAAACTTTCTGTTGCTTTACTGAACCAATGTGTCATTACAAAAAAAATTTGAAATATAACACATTGAGATATCATAATAAAGTTATGCATTTACTCAGTTTACCCAGGTCCTTTAAGTGTAGTTAGTTCTCATGGAAATGTCTCTACATGAATTAAGACATTTCCATCATTCATTTCTCTGATGAAGTCTCACCCACTCAGAGAAAACCTTCCTGACTACCCTCTCTCCAACCCACTCTGACCTATCATCTTGCTGTCCATTGGCCACAATTCTGAGTGTATGCAATTAGTTTATTTCTTAATCAACAATTCTCATTCATGAGACTGTAATGCTTAACTCATTAATTAAAAATAAAAGTACTGCGTTCAAGTCGATTCTGATTTATGAGACTGGTGTAATCTTACAGAATTCCATGTATATCAGAATAAACTGTGAACAACAGGAGTTTTGGAAATAGACTATCGGGTGCTTCTTTCAAGGAGTCTCTAAGTGAACTATCGTTATGTGTCAGAACTGCCGCAAAGCTGACCTTCCAGTGGGTTTTCAGAGGCAATAAATCACACAGGTGAAGACTGTTCATCCTTCTCCAGCAGAACAGCTGATGGATTGACTCACATGCCTTTTGAAGAGGGACATCATGCATGGAAAGGTGAAGGGTCAGCAAAAGAATGGAATATCCACAACCAAATGGAATGATATAATGAATGCAGCAATGGGTTAGAGTATGTCGTATGTCAAAAATTATAAAGATGGCAAGATTCAGATTTGCTGTTCACTATAAGTTGTTGTCACAATAAGTCATACTCAATTGCACTCAACAGCAACTGGTTGGAATTGAATCTTGCACCTTTCAGTTGCCAAATGAGCATTTTATTAGGATACAGAGTGGGCTAAAACCTACTGAATGAAGTAATTTCTAAGTAATGCCTTAAAATTGGCTAAATCATGGTACTTCAGAGTATGACGTCAAATACATGGCAATGTTTCAGTTTTACATTTTTGGGGTTTTTTCCCTTTTTTTAATTTTTTTTTTAATTATTTTGTGTGCATACCATCAAATCTGATCTGACTTGTACAGGAGGAGATTGTCCCTCTTTCTCCAGCAGAGCATCTGGTGGATTTGAACTGCATGCCTCTGGGATTGCAGTACAACCTCTTGCCACTGGGCCACCAGAGCTCCCTCAGTTTTACGTTAAAGGAAAAAATACAGGCAATTTTTTTGTAGCTAAGGAAAATCCCACCCCAAAGAAAGTTTTTCCTTAGCTACAAAAAAAAAAAGAAAAAAAAATTTGCCTGTACTTTTTCCTTTGACATAAAACTGAGGAAGCTCTGGTGGCCTAGTGGCAAGAGGTTGTACTGCAATCCCAGAGGCACGCAGTTCAAATCCACCAGATGCTCTGCTGGAGAAAGAGAGACAATCTCCTCCTGTACCAGGGTGACCCAACTGAGTGTGGAAACTACAGAACAATATCATTGATTTCACATGCAAGCAAGATTCTACAGAAGATTATCCAAAAACGACTGGAACAGTACATCAACAGAGAACTGCCAGAAGTCCAGGCTGGGTTTAGAAGGGGTCGTGGTACTAGGGATATTGTAGCTGATGTTAGATGGATCTTGGCTGAAAGCAGGGAATACCAGAAGAATGTCTATCTGTGTTTCATTGATTATGCAAAGGCGTTTGACTGTGTGGATCATAACAAACTGTGGCTGACTCTGAGAAGAATGGGAATCCCAGAACAGTTAATCCTATTAATGCGAAACCTATACTTGAACCAAGAGGCAGTCATCAGAACAGAGCAGGGCAACACTGCATGGTTCAAAATTGGGAAGGGTGTACGCCAGGGATGTGTCCTATCTCCATACCTTTTCAACCTGTATGTAGAGCAGATTATCCGAGAGGCTGGGCTCTATGAGGAGAAGCGTGGTGTTAGGATTGGTGGAAGATCTATCAACAATCTGCATTATGCAGATGACACAACCCTGCTTGCTGAAACTGAGGGGGACCTCATGCACTTACTGCAGAGGGTCAAGGACTGCAGCCTTCAGTATGGACTGAGGCTCAATATCAAGAAGACAAAGATTCTCACCACTGGACCAATCGGTAACATCAGGATGGATGGTGAAGAGATTGAGATTGTTCACAGCTTCAGTTTGCTTGGCTCCACAGTCAACACTCTTGGCACCAGCAGCCAGGAAATCAAAAAACATATTGCGATGGAAAAGTCTGCTGTTAGGGACCTCTCTAAAGTACTCAAGAGCAACGGTGTCTCTCTGGAGACTAAGGTGCGCCTGATATAGGCCATGGTCTTTGCAATCACTTGTTATGCATCAGAGAGTTGGACAATGACTAGGGAGGATAGAAGGAGAATTGACACCTTTGAGCTGTGGTGCTGGAGAAGAGTATTGAATGTTCCATGGACTGCCAAGAAAACAAACAGATCCAACCTAGAGAGGGTTAAACCAGACTACTCCTTAGAGGCAAGGATTCTGGGGCTTTGTCTGACATACTTTGGACATGTTGTAAGGAGAGATAGGTCCTTGGAGAGGGATATCATGCTTGGTAGGGTAGAGGGACAGCGCAGGAGGGGAAGACCCTCTATGAGGTGGATTGATTCAGTGACTGGGGTAATCAGGATGGGTGTGTCAGAGGCAATGCGGTCGGCACAGGATAGAGCAGAGTTTAGGGCTGTTGTACATAGGGTTGCTATGAGTCGCAAACGACTCGACAGCACATAACAACAACAACAAGGAAAAACCTAAAACTGTGGTTCATTGATTAATCAATTAGCTTTCTGGAAAAACAATATTAACTAACTTGTAAATATTTTATTTTTAAAAAATCACATATAAAGATATACGTGTCGAACTGTCATCTAATTATAAATGACAAGTTTTAACTCCTAAAAAAGAAACCACCAAGTCTTGCACAATTGTTGTGTAATTATATCTTCACATCCATTTTGTGAGCCAAGAAATTTTACAATTAGAGAAATAAATACTCAAAAAGCTAAGCAATATGTTCAATTACATACAGCTGAAAAATAGAAAAGCTCTCCCACACGGATTATATACCGCTACTCTTTGTAATGTGCCCATAAACTTATGTTTTATGAGAGAAGTTAACTTTTCAAAGAAAACTCATCGTGACTTTTTAAGCACAGAAACAGAAATGGTTTGGTTACTCACTGGAGCTTAACTGTGCGAGCATCTGCAGTCGCAGGTGAAGCCCTTCCCCAGTCACGTACTGCAGCCCCCGGCAAGAGGACGGGACAAGCCTGACCTCTGCTGGCAGCCGGATTTCGGTGCAGCCCTCAGGAGTGCTCATCCGGAGTGAAGATGGCATTAGAGAAATATCCACGGGTAGACCTCCTTCTCTCGGCTCTCTGGTAAGTAAAAATAACACCCGAACAAATTAGTTCCCACTGATGGAAAAACATAATTATGAAAGAAACAAAAAAAAAGGACTGATAATCTCGGTCCATCTTTAGTAGCTTAAAAGTCACTGTCTCTGAAAATTTCTAAAGGAAACAAATCTACATTAAATTTATATCAGGTCACTGTAACATTAAGCCAAAGTAAGTATAATCTGAAAATCTTGCAGAAACTTGAGACAAACACAAAGAGTAGTTATTAGGTGTCCATGTCGACCCAGACTCATGGTGACCAATGGTGAACAATGGATCTGAAACTTGCCCTATCCTGTGCCATCCTCATCATCTCTGATATACTTGAATCCATTGTCACAGTCATTTTGTCAATCCGCCTTGGTGAAGATCTTCCTCTTTCACTGACCCTCCACCTTTCCAAGCATATGACCTTTTCCAAAGACTGGCCCCCCTAACAATGTGACCAAAATGTGACTCCATCCTTGCCTCCAAGGAGAACTCTGGTTGCACTTAATCCAAGACATTTGTTCTTTTGGCAGTCCTTGGGACAGTACGCTTCTCCAACACATCTCGAAGGCATTGATTCTTCTTCTGCCATCCTTAATCATTCTCCCCCTTTGAAATGCATAACAATTGAAAAGACCATGACTTGAATCAGATGAACCTTAGTCTTTAAACTGACATCATTACTTCTTAAAATCTTAGAGAGATGTATGGCCTACTAAATAAGGAGTCATACCTTGGGTTAAGACTTGGAACTAACTGAAAATCAGCTTCTCCGAGGAAGCACAAAGTAGTCTGCTCCCATAAAGATCAACAGCCTTAAAACTCCTGGAGGGCCTTTTTATTCTGTCCTGTAGGTCACAACTGACATGACCTGGTGGTGCAACAGTTAATGCTTAGTCCTTAAAAAGTTTAGTCATCTGAACCCACTCAACAGTTCTGAGAGAGAAGCAAATGGAGATGTGCTCCAGTAAAGAAAACCCTGAAGGGCAGCTCATTGTGAGTAAGATCAGTTCTGAGGCTCCCATAGGAACAATCTTCAAAAGTAATGGGATCGTGCAAGACAGGAAAACTGAGGAAACCATGCAGACTGACAAAGGAAGCATAAGTAAGGTACAGGTATGTGTCTGAACTAAACCCATTTGCTATTATGAATATTACATGGACAAACAGCAAAACTTGAATGAGACTGGAGTAGAAAATAACAGTAATGTATTTCCTGATTATATGGGAGAATGTCCCTGTTTGCAGAAAATATACACTAAAGTAATCAGGGCATTGTGATAGCAACCTATTCTCAAGTTTGAGATTGTTCCCCAAAGTGTCCTGAGATTCTAATTTTAATGTTGGTGCCAATATCCACACTATTCCTTTCCTTCCCACTGTTTCACTATTAACGTGTACTCTTAAAGCTAACCAGTATCTTCACATCTCTCAGTTGATACACGTTAAGGCTCTTTCTGGTCCTTAAGACACAGTGATATACTAAAGCCAGTTCATGAGAAACAGTCAAGATTCTAGGACTTGGAGAAGGGGCTGAGCTCACTTTGGAACTTGACATCAGCCTTAGTAAAAGTATTTCTACCAATCAGTAATACATTTTGGCAGGGGACAGGGTTTCATTTTCTTGGAGAGCTATTAAATATGTTTTAGTGCCTTTCCCTACCGGTGGCTGATTATCTCTCTAAAGTAGGCAGTCTTTCATATTTACTGGGTTATTTTCAGAGTGGAATAGTCATCTACTGAACACCTGATAGTCTCATACCTCAAATGTTTACATTTATGTACTACACAAATGTTACTTTCACTTGAAATACAGACTTACAATTTCATTCTCTTCTTTTCCTGTTTTGTTTTTCTCTGTCTATCCTACATTAGTTTATTTATTTTGTGTATTTGTGCCTACCTCCACATCCAATAAGGACAAGTATTCCTGTATTTATTGTTCTTGTTCATGGCCATATCATTTCAAATTTGCATTGTTGGCACTGAATTATTAACTCAAGAAACATCTATGGAGTGAATGAACAAAGAGTGAAGGTTTCTCTTAGGAATGCAATATTAAACACATGTTAAACCCAAGACTGTAGTTGTTGTTGTTCTAAAGTAATGTTGAGTCAAGAACAACCCATAGTGACCATATGAATAGATCTAACCCTGTCCTATCCTGCACCATCCTCATCATGTCTGACATACAGGAGCTGATTGCTGTAGTCACTGTGGGAATCCATCTGGTTGAAGGACTTCCTCTCTTTCGCTGAAAGAATGCTGCTTCTCTCCAAGGAAAACACTTTCCTAGAAACATGCCTAAAATATGTGGATGAAGCTTTATCATCTTTGTCTCCAAGAGGCAGTCTGGCTGCACCTTCTCAAATTTTTTCTTGTGGCAGTCCACTGCTATTCAGTAACTTTTTCAATGCCACAGCTCGAAGCCATCAACTGGTGGTACCAAGGGTATTGATTGTATATCTAAATAAGATAAAGTTGTTGACAGTTTCAATCTTTCTTCACCTATTAATTATGTTGCCTCTTGCTGAGAATTTTCATTTTCTTGACGTCAAGATGCAGTCCATACTGAAGGCTGTATTCGTTGATCTTCTGCAGCAAATGTTTCAAATCCTTCTCATTTTTAGCAAGCAAGGTTGTGTCATCTATATAACATAGGTTATTGATGAGTCTTCCTCTGATCCTGATGCCACATTCTTCTTCAGAGAGTCTAGCTTCTCAAATAATTTGCTCAGCATACAGACTGAATTGGTATGATGAGAAGATACAACCTTCATACATCTTTCTTAATTTTACACCATGTTGATGCTTTTGAGCTTTGGTGTTGGAGAATAGTGCTGAAGGTGCCATGGACTGCTAAGAGAACAAACAGATTCATCCTGGAGAGGGTTAAACCGGGCTGCTCCTTGGAGGCAAGGATTCTGAGGCTTCGTCTGACATACTTTGGTCATGTTGTAAGGAGGGATCAGTCCTTGGAGCGGGACATCATGCTTGGGAGGTTGGAGGGCAGGTGCAGGATGGGAAGGCCCTCTGGGAGATGGATTGATTCGGTGACTGGGGCAATCGGGGTGAGTGTGTCGGAGACAGTGAGATTGGCACAGGACAGAGCAGAGTTTAGAGGTGTTGTACATAGGGTCACTATGAGTCGCAAGTGACTCGACGGCACATAACAACAAGTGTCTCCTTACTGTTCACACAACAGCCTATTATTGGTCTAGGTACAGGTTTTGCACAGGTAGACTTAAGTGTTCTGGAAGTTCCATTCTTCTCAACGTTAGCCATAATTCGTTATGATCAACACAGTTAAGTGCCTTTGCATAGTCAATAACGCACAAATAGATATTCTGGTATGCTCTGCTTTCTGCTAAGATCCATCACACATCAGCAATGATATCCTTGGTGCAATGGTCTCTCTAAAAACAGCTTGAACTTCTAGCAGTTTTCTGTCTCTGTACTTGTTCTAGCTGTTTTGGTTTTTTTCAGTGATCTTCAGCAGTATTTTGCTGACGTGCTATTAATGATCCTTAATCATTTCCGCATTCTGTTGGAACACCTTTCTTGAGGACGAAAATTAATAGTGGATCTCTTCCATTCAGTCAGGCATAGACTGTTGAGCACATCCAGGGCTGTACCTATTAGCTGAAACATGTCAACTGGTATCCCATCAATTCCTGGGGTCTTATTTTTGGCCAATACCTTCACAGCAGCTTCAATGTCTTCCTTCATTACGAATGGCTCTTGTTATTGTTGTGTATTATCAAGTTAGAATCAACTCATAGCTGACATTCCAGTGTGGTTTCAATCTCACGGGAGGAGGCTGTTTATCTTTCTTGCACAGAGCAGCTGGTGGATTCCAACTGCTTGCTTTTGGGTTAGCAATTCCTTACCACTGAGCTACCAGAGCTCTATAAGATGATCATATGATACTTCCTGAAATATTTTTGTGTATGCTAATTCCTTTTGGTAAGTGATTCTGTGTATCCCCTCCATCTTCTTTTGATGCTTCTTGGATCATTTAAGGTTTTGCCCATAGCATCTCTCAATATTACAACTGAAGGCTGGAACTTGTTTTTCAGTTTCTTCAGCTTGAGAAATGCTGAGTGAATTCTCCCCTTTATACTGTCCAATTCCAGATTACTGCATATTCCATTACAATACTTTGTTTTCTCAAGCTGCCCTTTGAAATCTCTTTCCTTTGTTTTGGCTTCTCAACACTCTAGTGCAGTTTTCAGAGTCTCTTCTGACATCCATCCCAATTTTTCTTTCTCCTCTGTCTTTCTGACCTTTTGCTCCCTTCAAGGATGACACCCTTGATATCATCCCACAACTCATCTGGTTTTCATCATTAGCATTTAATACTTCAACCTATTCTTATGATGATTTTGATACTCAGGTGGGATAGACTTGGTTCTCACGGACTTGTTTTCATTTTCTTCAGCCTCACTTTGAACTTGCACATGACTAATTAATGATACACTCCATAGTCAGCACACACTCTAATTTTGACTGTTCACATTGAACTTTTCCAGCAATTTCATCCACAGATGCAATCTATCTGATTTCTATACAATTGTTAGGTGAAGTTCATGCATAAAGTTGCCATCTGTGTTTTTTAAAGAGGTATCTTTAATGAATAAATCAATCGTTGAAAATACAAAATTGGATCATTCTATTCCCAGCCTCATTTCTGTCACCAAATCCATATTTTCCAACTTTTGCATTCCAGTCACCGATCTTGACTGCATATGTGGTCAACTTCGGACGGCAAAATTTGGCAAAAATCTTCAATTTCTTCCCCTTCGGCTTTAGCGGCTGGTGTGTATATTTGAATAATAGTTGTATTAACTGATCTTCCTTGTATGCGCACGGATAATATCCCATCATTCACAACACTGCAATTCAGGACCTCAAGATAGCCTAAAATAAATAGTTATTTCTAATGTAATTAATTCATTGTTTAATATGCATGTCAAAATTCAACAATGAACAAAGT